ATTGGCTTCCCTAAAGTAATTGCCTGGGAGCTTTTGTGCACGGGGAGTTTGGGACCACATTCGTCTTTTGCATAAATGAGTTAGGGGATCTGGGGAAGATGACCCTGTTTCCCCTCCCTTCTCTACTTCTTCCTCAAATGACTTGGTATCTTGAATTTGCATAACAGATGCCAGAAGGTTTTGTGCTACAATAAAAGATAAGACTTGAAGAACAAGTCCAGGATACGACCAGGAGCATACTTGAGAGTCAGTGGCATGAATGATATGAGAAGCAGCTTGAGGGTAGATCTTTGTCCCGGGAGGAGAAGGCTTCAGGGGCTCCCGGAACCTGGATATTTGCAGTGGCAGCAGCACTGGCCTCCTTGGCACATGGCTGCTCTTTGTATTCAGGATAAAACCCACATTTGCTGCCCAGCATCTGAGGCCCTGCCTGCCTTGGGGATGTTACCACGTGTCTGTCCCCCTTAGTTCCAGCCACACTAAGGTTTTGAGCCTGAGATCACCAGGCTCTCTGGGTCCTTGGCCTGCACAAGGCCTGGCCCGCACCCTCACCTGCAGTGTTGGCTTCCTCAACCCCTCAGGTCTCTTACTAAACCCCCCTTCCCTTTAAGGTGCCCCTTCACTTAATCTACGTGTACCTCCCTTCATGCCATCTTCTTATTTGTGTGCTCTCTTGTTTCCTATTTCCCACTTGACAGTCACCTCCTGGATGGCAGTTCAGCTCCACTGTGTCCCCACTGGAGATTCAGGCTCCCCTGCCAACCACACAAGAACCAGGCTCTGAAATATTTGTTGGATTCGGAAATGGTTGATTGGCTTTCATTGGGCTGCCGGGAGCATTAATTATGAATATAAAAAGGTGATTACGTCACATTCCCATATGCCCGTTACACTGATGGATAAGTATTGGGTTCTGTGTTCTCTTGCCAGGGACTTTAAGAAGCTGCTGAAGAACCAAAACGGAGGTGGGAGCTGTTGGTGGCGGGTGACTCATAGCACCATCCTTCAGGGAGGGCGTGGTTGGCATAGCATGGTCGAGGAGGGCCAAGAGAAGAGGTGCTTCTGAGTACGACCTAGCAGGGTGGAAAGAAGGAGTGGTCTCCCAAGTGCACATTTGTTGGAGGAAGCTTTCGTGGGCTCCTGACATTCCGTTATTCTAGAACTACAAGGTAAGAACAAGAGGAGACTTGGGGACACTCTGGTCCAATTCGTCTTTTTTTTTTTTTTCCAGATGTGGAATTAGAGGCCCGAGGGAATGAAGGGATTTCCTCCTCATCACTTGGGTTAGGACCGTGGAGCTCCTGGAGCCTAGAGATTCCAGGCCTAGGAGCACATCCTCATTGTGTTTCTTGGGGCTCAGGTGCATCTCTTAAGAACTTGTTCTTAGACATATTGTGTTCAAACTTGTTGCATCATGTCAGTCTTAATGTTATATCTGGAACAAGGAAGGAGAGAAGAAAGGAAAGCAGGAAAAAAGAAAAGAAAGAAAGAAGGAAAGAAAAAGAGAGACTGAGAGAAAGAGAGAAAGAGACTTCTTGGCATCTTACCACAACCATTTTTTATCTACAGAGAAGAAATATTTTACAATACCTACAGCTTCCTGGGCAGATCATCATGTGCAGACTGCTTACAGAGAGAAGAAAATTGCTTCACTTTCTTCTTCCTGGTAAGGCTGGAAGACAAAAGCCATCTCTTATTACAATTTTGAAGGCTACAGGCAAGGCAATTTTACGGAAAAGACAGATTCTTTGACTGATGCAAATGGAATGAACTCCAATGGAATCCTTTTAGAAATCACTATATTATGCAGTTATAGGATGACTGTGGCATATTTGATTAAACATACAGGCAGAAAGAAGCAAGAGGAAAGCCAGGAAGGCATAGTTTTATGTCAAGGTTCTGTTGAGTTAGTGAGGGTGTGTCCTGCTTTCAGACTTGGCCATGCTTTAATTCTCAGAAGTTCATTGCTTGAATGGTGCCACTTATTTTAGGTTTATTTCTGGCACACTGGATGGGTAAGGCTTTCCCAGAACCTTTCATAAACTGAGCTGCTAGGCTTCACCCCCCGATCTTCATCCAAACCCTTGCCCACTCTTTGCTATCGTCTACCAAGATTTTCAAGGAGAATTCTTTATGCTTCCTGTTTACCTCTTCAAAAGAAAGCCTTGTCCAGGGTTGACATTGGAAGGTTCACCATATACTTGATGTCCTGTTTCCATAGGTCTAAACTTCTGTAGACTCTTTAACTTCAAACTCCTGGACTGAGTAGGCAATTCAAAAAGATTTGCCAAATGCTTTTAAATCTTAGGTCAGTGGCTGGCACGGTGGAAGATGTCCAACAAATATTTGCTGAATGAAGGCATTAGAATGTCAACTGATGGAGGTGAATGCCCTGGGTCATTGTAATCTGCCATAACGCTGGAATCTCAGACCAATTTAGAGCAATTTTTAAAAAGACTTTGCTATGCTTCACTTATGATGTTAAATTGAATATATTTTTAAATGAAGAATTATTTTCTTCTACTTTTCGGTTCAAATTCTTAAACTTGATGTTTAAAGAAGATAGAAAATGAAGTAAACCTTGGAATTTTATGAAGCTTTATGATTCTTAAATAAGTGGAAGCCAGTTCTCATTACCTACTCTTCCTGTAATTCTATTCTCCACAGGGCCATTTCCAGATATGAATTGCAGAGAAATATTTCAATATGTCCTCACCCAAATATCCTTTTAAGAGTACATTTCTTTTAATACAATAAGATTTATGCCCTTTGTGTTTGTTTAGAGGGTAAATCTGGATTTGTATTTATAGAAGTTACTTTTAACAAAGAAATTTGAAAGAAACAGTATTTTAGAGAAAACAAGCCATAGAAATCTAATATTTTTCAGATACTATATTGGACAGTATAAAGACTAAATCCATAATGTGGAAGAATATTATATTCTAAAGTAAATGCTGTATTTTGTCAAATTATTTGCCTGGCAAAATTAAATTCTTTAAAATAAACTTTTGTTCTTATTTCGAAGTGATGCGTCTATGAAGAGGCAGTGTAGATTGGTGGTTAGGAGCACTCTGGAGTCACAAGCCTGTTTTAGAATTTTGGCTCCCTCACTTACTAAGGGTAGAGCTGTGGGCAGGTTACTTGTTTTCACTCTCTTCTTTTTCCCATCTGTGAGATGGCAACGATAAACCACCTAAGTAAAATGGCCTTTGTGAAAGATAAAGAAATTAAGAGCTGTTACTATGGTTTAAATGTGTCTCCTCCAAAATCTACGTAGAAAACTTAATTCCACTTTGTTGGCTGTGTTTGTCTGTTCTCACACTGCTAATAAAGACATACTCAAGACTGGGTAATTTATAAAGAAAAGTGGTTTAATGGAATCACAGTTTCACATGGCTGGAGAGGCCTCACAATCATGGCAGAAGGCAAAGGAGGGGAAAGGCATGTCTTACATGGCAGCAGGCAAGAGAGCTTGTGCAGGGGGACTCTTATTAATAAAACCATCAGATCTCCTGAGACTCATTCATTACCATGAGACCAGTATGAGAGAAACTGCCTCCATGACTCAATTATCTCCAACTGCCCTTGGCACATGGGAATTATTAAAATTTAAGGTGAGATTTGGGTGGGGACACAGCCAAATCGTATCAATGGCATTGAGAGATGAGACATTTTGGGAAGTGATTAAATCCCAGAGGATAGAATAGATCAGTGCCTTATAAACGGGTTGGAGGGAACTGGTTTAGGCCCTTCTGGCCTTTCTGTTTCTTCTGCCACGGGAGACACCCTCCAGAGAAAGCAGCAACAAGGCACCATCTTGGAAGCTGAGAGGGCAGCCCTTACCAGACACCAAATCTGCCAGCACATCTGTCTTGAAAGTTCCAGTCTTCAGAACCATGAGAAGTGAATTTCTGTTCTTTGTAAATTACTCAGTCTATTGTGTTTTGTTATAGCAGCACAAACGAACTAACACATGTGAAACGCTTAGAGCTGTGCTTTGCCCAGAGTAAGTCCTCAGTTAACCTTGTGAAAAATTTGGCAAGTCAGTAAAGGTAGAACTGAGAAAACAAAAATTATCTACTTTCCATCACTTGCAGAAGCCACTAGTAACATTTTAGCATATTGCTTTCAGTCTATCCCTAAACATTTTATAATATGAGAGTTTACTACTTATAAAATGTTTATCTTTTGCTTCACTTGACACACCACAAGCATTTATTTATACTATTTAAATTATTTTTAAAATTCTCTGCCCCTTCTGTAACTACTTCTTCTTGTTCCTCCTCCTCTCCTCCTCCTCCTCCTCTTCCTCCTCCTCCTCCTCCTTCTTCTTTTTCTTTCCCCTTCTCCTTCTCCTTCTCCCCCTCCTTCTTCTTCTTTGTGATGTAGTCTTGCTCTGTTGCCTGGTCTGGAGTGCAGTGGCACGATCTCAGCTCACTGCAATCTCTGCCTCCCAGGTTGAAGTGATTCTCCTGTCTCAACCTCCCGTGTAGCTAAAATTACAGGCACATGCCATCATGCCTGTCTAATTTTCATATTTTTAGTAGAGACAGGGTTTCACTATGTTGGCCAGGCTGGTCTAGAATTTCTGACTGTAAGTGATGCAGTCATCTTGGCCTCCAAAATGTTGGGATTGCAGATGTGAGCCAATGTACCCATAACATATGGCCTTCTTCCATAACTTTCTTAACCATTTTCTATTTCCCTATTGTTGGATATTTAGATTGTTTCCAATAACATCAAAACACGTGAACAATATTAACAGTTTTATGTTTGCTGTATGGAATGTCTCCAAATCATAAAGCCATTTTACTACTGAAATGACACACATTTTTGAAAACCCTACAAAACATGGTGTTTTAGACATGGCGTTTGAAACATGATGAAAATAAAGCTTTTTATCTATGTGTTGAGAAGAAGTGATCACTTAAAACAAACAATAATATGGTAAAATATACTGAGCACTTTATATTTTCCTAGCATAGAATCTATCCCCAGTACCTCACAGCTATCTCAAGAGGGAATTTTCTTGTCTCCATCTTGCAGGTTTAGAAACATAGTCACCGAAAGATTGAATGACCTGCCCAAGATCTTCACTCTAGTAAATTGAAGTGTTGCGATTTTCTGAATCCACTTCCAGAAACTGTATTCTCTGCCACCGAATCTACACTATCTTTTTTACATAGAGTACTTATTCTGAATATTTAATCAGAAATGCTCTACTGCTGATTTTTTTTTCATTATTCTTTATTTGGAAAAAAATAGAAAGATCAAGTAAATTTTGGTAAATGGATATTTTTCTGTACATAATATCCAAAGCTTGGATGGGCTTTCACGTAATGAACTATTTAGGCATTTGTTTTTCTGGACTTTTATTTAGAGTCGGATCAAAATTTCAGTGGGTTGCTTCCCACCCTGTTTTAAATTGGGTTACGGTATAACTTTGGAGAGAATGACTACACTGTTTTAGAAATAAACCTTTCTTTTTTACAGACTAGCAGTATTTCACTGAAGTGTACATCTGTTGTGAAGAAGGAGTGCAGCTGGAAAAAATAGAGTGTCAACTGTATTTTCTGTGTAGGCGTTTTTCAGTCGGCTGCCCAGGACACATTTGAGAATATGCTTTCCATTTTACTGCCCTTTTCCAAATCACACAGTTAATAGATAACAACCCAACATCCACATACACTCTGAGGGCTGTGGGAAAGTGGAGTGAGGGAAGACAAGTCCTGTGCACATGGGCTGAATGGGTGGTAGGGGGGAGTCCTAGTTTTTCCTTCTATCTTGGAAGGATAGGACTTGGTTTCTTTCAGAGACACAAGCCCTTATGTGCTGGAAAAGGAAGTCGCAGAGAATTTTCCAGGGACTGGTACAAAGGTTGTAAAATAGGACATGAAATGACAGAGAATCAGGTGCTCTTACTGCAAAGTCTGTCTTGAAGTTGAGCATTACTGGGAGAGGTGTGTGACATTATTCTGCTAGTAGCCTCATGGGTCAGCCTCATAAAACATAGTTATTGCCCCAGGGGATGCTGGTTTTTTCTTATTTTTTTTCATTATTCTTTCTTATTGCTCCATTAAGTATCACAACCTTCTCTCTCTGTCCTTCCCCAAATTTCCAAGAAATGGAATGACACTTTTATAATTATGACTCCATTAGAGATCATTTAGAAATTGAAAATGAATCTGTGGAGCCCAAATATCTCATTCAATTTAGGAAGTTCATTTTGCCACAGTTAAGGATGTGCACCAGTGACACAGCCTTAGGAAGTCCTGACAATGTGTGTTCAAGGTGGTCGGGGCAATAGCTTGGGTGTCCACATTCTAGGGAGACGTGAGACATCGATCAATTATGTAAAATGTAAATTGGTTTGGTCTGGAAAGGCAGGACAACTCGAAGCAGAGACAAGGCCTCCAGGGCATACGTAGTTAAGAGACAAATGATTGCATTCTTTTGAGTTTCTGATTAATGTTTAAAAATGAGGCAATCAGATATGCATTCATCTCAGTGAGCAGAGGGATGGGAGGCACGTTTGCCCTCAACAGTTTCCAGCTTGAGTTTTCCCTTTAGCTTAGTGATTTTGGGGGGAGGGTCCAAAGATTTATTTTCCTTTCAAAAATCCAAATGTATGTGTCTCCAGGTATTTTATTTTATTCTCATTAAGGGTGGGAATGCAGAATATGCTTTGCTTTATTAAAAAAAAAAAGACTAGGTATTTACCTTTAAAATTTCAGGTTTTAGAAACATTTTGTTTTAGAAGTCTTTCCTTGAAAAATAGGCAGACCGAAGCAAAATCTGCTCACCCTAGCTTTTAGGAGGCCTCAAACTGAACTTTTGCCTACGTGGCCTTCTTTTGTTTTTTTCAAGTTTATTTAAATGGGACTGATCATTACCCCTATTTAAACAGGAATCCAAAGGACAGAATATCTTTTTTTTTTTTTTCCATTTATTTATTTTATTGTATTTTAGGTTTTGGGGTACATGTGAAGAACATGCAAAATTGTTGCATAGGAACACACCTGGCAGTGTGATTTGCTGCCTTCCTCCCCATCACCTACATCTGGCATTTCTCCCCCTGCTATCCCCCCCATCTCCCCACACCCCACCGTCCCTCCCCTATTTCCCCCCAACTGACCCCAGTGTGTAGTGCTCCCCTCCCTTTGTCCATGTGCTCTCATCGTTCAACACCCGCCTATGAGTGAGAACATGCGGTGTTTGATCTTCTGCTCCTCTGTCAGTTTGCTGAGAATGATGGTTTCCAGGTTCATCCATGTCCCTTGACCCAGCAATCCCATTACTGGGTATATATCCAAAGGATTACAAATCGTTCTACTATAAGGACACGTGTACACGAATGTTCATTGCAGCACTGTTTACAATAGCAAGGACCTGGAACCAACCCAAATGCCCATCGACGATAGACTGGATAGGGAAAATGTGGCACATATACACCATGGAATATTATGCAGCCATCAAAAACGACAGAATATCTTTATCCCTGCAAAGGGTGGTCGTAATTTTGTTAAGTAAGAAGACACCCGTGAAAACAATCACCTCAAATCCATTTCCATAAGAAAAAAGAACCAGCGTTAACTTGAAAAGGTCTTTTATTCAATCTCAAGGACAGAAGTGGGGGAAAATTCCAAATGCTGAATCACAATAAGGTCCACTAGGATTTTCTCCTGTTTACTCGCAGACCCTGCTCTAGACTGCAGTGCTGGACAGGGGGCTGCCCTGAGCCCGCACTGCAGCTGTAAAGCTCCCTGCTTGCGTTCTCTGGACCGCCTGCATTCCCGCCGCCGAGGAGCAGCTGTGTGATTTTTTTTTTTTTTTTTTTTTTGCCGGGCCAGGGCTGCCCTGGGTGAATGCTCTTCGTCAAGTTCCTTCTTAAACAGTGGTCAAGCATTCTTCTGGTGCATCTATTATTTCCAGGTCCTTTATTACAGGTACTGACGGTGTAATCTCAGCAGCATAGGTTCGCCCAGCAGGGCTTCGGGATGCTTCCCTGACTCTCCCCGACTTTCACACCAACGCCCTCCGGGAATGATTCCAGTGGGTGTCAAGTCCATTCTCTGATGAACAGACTCGCGCTTTGAGAGCATCTTCAGGGTCAGCGCATCCAGGGACCATTGGCACCATTTTCCTCGAGCGCCACCGCCTGGCCAAAACGGGAACGACCTGTGCCCACTGCTGAGGAGGACAAACACCCGAGATGGAATTTCTAGTGTTTGTACAATCCTCGTCCTTTTCCATTTTCTGTAAAGTGACGATGACAGATATTTTCGCTTACGACTGCAAGTATTTTCCCTCTGAATAAATATACCATTTTTTTTCTGGCAATAATTTGCGTTTAAAAATACTGAGGCTGGGCATTGTGGCTCACTCCTGTAATGCCAGCACTTTAGAAGGCCGAGGTGGAAGGATGGCTTGAGTCCAGGAGTTTGAGACCAGCCTGGACAACATAGCAAGACCCCATCTCTACAAAAATAATTTTCAAAACTACTGGGTGAGCTGGCGTGCACCTGTAGTTCCAGCTACTCAGGAGGCTGAGAAGGGAGGATGGCTGCAATGAGCCGTGATCACGCCACTGCACTCCAGCCTCGGTGACACAGCAAGACCCTGCTTTTAAAAAAAAGGAAAAAGAAAAAAATAAAAATACTGAAATGAGAGCTATCCTATACCCTCAACTATACATTACATAAATTGTATTCTTTAGAATTCTAAACGCTGGCTAGGATGTGCTTTGGTAATACTATAAAACTATAAGAGCAGAAACAGACAAACAAAAAGGAGAAAGTATTTTCCTCTAGCATTTTAACTGTGGTGGACAGGATGGGTGGAGAACGCTTAAAGGGCTCGCTTGGTTGGTCCCCACCCCTGTCTGCTCCCCAGTGGTCAAGACGGAGCACTGATGCTACAGACCCAGGCTCCAGAACAGACTGGATGCAAAGGCTCCCAAAAGAGTGTGCACACCTCGAGGAGTGTATGCGTGCGAGCAAACACCTCTGTAAGGAGTCTCCTTGGGGCGTTGAAAGAAAATATTAGCATTTCTCTTCATACTTATTTTTATCTCAAATTTCAATACTTTTATTTTTATAGGGCAAATACAATTATTCAAACACTTGTATATTGTTTACAAAGCAAATCAGTGTTTTCATAGGTCTTGGGTGTGTGGCTTAAAAAATTCGAGATTGCCATGGAGGTGGTGGAAGGATGATGAGGGCTGCCCTTGGACTGGGCAGAGGTGGGGCGAGTAGGGTGTGGATCTTGATCTTCCTGCCCAGGGGGGCAGTCCTATGGCCAAGGAACGGGCTCCCTTTTCCCACGCCTTACTTGCAGACTGCCCAGGTGCAGGAGTGAGGGGTGCAAGGAGCCACCCTTATGAGAAGGTGCAGGCGAGGGGTAAGGGGCGAGGGGAGCTGGCACCTGGTGACTTTGCACTTGGAGGTTGAAGGGGACAGGATGGGGGGCAGGCGACCTCTCCAGGGAAGGGTCCTGGCTACTGGCTCGGCAGCAGGGTGGGAAAGAAAAGGCCTGTACTCTCCTATAGAAAGTGGGGAACTGGAACTGGGGCATGGGTTGGGTTTTGAAGCTTTAATTATGATTTTTAAGCAAAATTAAAAACATTTTGTTGAAAGTTTGCCCAAAGCTTGAAAAAATGATTTTCTAGTAGAAAAAAAAATTTCTAGAAGAAGAAAACTTTTCTAGAGAACAGCCCACCAGTCTAAAATTGCACCAAACTAAGGATGTTCTTAACATGGCCCCCAGTGGCATTACAAGGCAAAAAAATCCACACAGCTGGCATAGGGCCTGGCTGCAGGTAATCTAGCCAGCCTTTCTTTCTGGGTAGGGAGGCTGGGATGGAATTTGACTCAGAAGAAGGTTCTGGCCCGCCCTCTGTCAGCCTTATGGTGCAACCTAGGTAAGTCACTTTACATCTTGAGGCTTTCTTCTTTGCTAAACAGATGACAAATGTGTACTGAGAATTGGCTGGGTGTCAGATGCCGGTGGAATGGGGGTGCTGAAGACAGAATGTGAGCAGAAGACTGAGCTCATCTTAAAGTGTCTGCAGTTAAGTCTAACTTTCATTTCAACTAAAAAATTGTATGAAAGTTCAAAATAAAAGTATAAAGAAGGTTAAAAGGAAAAAAATATCTAAATACCAAAAAGATGACAAATTGTAGCGCCCTCTCAGGCTCTGTAAACCCCTGCATTTGGTTACAGAAGTTTGCTGCCCTTTATGTAGGTGATCCTAACCACTTAAAAAAGAATCGGAAATGTATGCATTATACCTACCTTTGAATAGCTCTATTTTCACAGTGGATGATTAAAACAGAATTAATGCATTATATCTGCAATGGCCTGAATATTTATGTTCCTCTCAAAATTTATATGTTGAAACCCTAATCTCAAGATAACGGTACCTGGTGCTGGGGCCTTTGGGAGGTCATGAGGGTGGAACCCTCATAAATGGGATTAGCATCCTTATAAGAAGAGGCCGGAGAACTTGGTAGCTCTCTTTCTACCAGGCAAGGATGCCATGAGAAGTTGGAAGCCATCTGCAACCTGGAAGGGAGCCCTCACCAGGACCCAGCCATGCCGGCAGCCTGATCTCTGACTTCCAGCTTCCAAGGCTGTGAGAAATAAATTTCTGTTGTATATATATCACTCAGTCGATGATACTTCATTAGAGCAGCCAGAACGAACTAAGACAATCTCCATGTTTGAATATACATATATATTTTTTAAAGTAGACAGGGAAAACAAAATTAATGATTCAAGGGCTAAGTTGCTATGCTTTTAAAAAAGATTATTTTTGATAGACATTTGGAAAAAAAATGAGAGACTCCAATTTACAAAAGGAGAAGCGGGAATATTTTAATATGCAGCCCTGGCTTTGCCATAGCAATACAAATTGTTCTTCAAGTGAGAGCTTTGACTCTAATCCTAAAACAAGTTGTGGTCCCTCTGCTGTGACTGAAATCACTACAGAGGCAGAAACCCCATCTTGTTCTAAGAAAAAGGCAAAAGACAATGACCTGAGTTTTTAGTTCACATATGTCTTGCTGACAGCTGTCAAATTTCTTCATTGACTTTTAATTTGACGTTTAAAAACAGAGGCTTTCCTTTGAACAGGTTGGGGCCAGAACATTTTATTGGTGTTGGGTCTTGTCTGCAGTGGATAGCAAATTCCTCATCACATGGGTCATTTGGTGACTGTGTGGGTGAGAGAAATTACAGTTTGATCATGATTTGGAAATGTTCCAGCAGGTTCCAAGAGGCAAAGTTTCTGGAATCACTGCATAGTATGCTGTGTTTGCTTTGCAAGAGAGTCTGTGGGTGGCCAGGGGCTGGGGTGGAGTTGGTGGGCGGAGAGGTGACATTTCAAGCTGTGGTATCTCTGCCAGTTGGGTGTCACTTGGTTCTTGCCTATTCCTTCTGGTTTGGAGGAAACACAAGTTGTTGTCCCTGCTTGGTTTTATCGCTAATCTCAAACAAGTCACCGAGCTAGTCTAAGCCTTATTTTCTCATCTGTAAGATCAGGTTTGTGTACGCTGCTGAGGCAGCATGACTGAGCCAAACAGCTCCATGACTGAGCTCCAGCAAGGGAGCTCCGGGGTCCTCTCTACCACTGGTGGGAATGCATATTGGTCAAATATTTTGGAAGCACCATTGGAAAGTATAAATCAAGCCCCCTATCATCAACCACATACATGCCCTCTGACTCTGCTATTTTGCTACTAGGAATTGTCCTAAGAATAGTCCAGCAATGGACACAGAGATTTATGTACGTGTTCATTTACTCCAAATCAAAATGTAAGACAAGCTAAATACTTAAGGGTAAGAACATGTATAAATAAATTAAAGCAATGTTCAATGCACTATTGTGTAAGCATTTCAAATTCTATTTTTTAAGAATATTAACACAACAAGTGTTTCCTGACACAATATTAAAATTGTAAAAAGCCAGGCAAAATGTAAAAGTATATTGCACGACGCTAATTTTGCATCAAATATTTGACGCACATACTTACATGAAAAAATCTGGAGTAAAAACAACTACATGTGAACAGCATTCCTAAGAGATTAATGTTCTTTATTATTCTTTCTTAACTATTCACCTTTCCTACAATGAACATGTATTGCTTTCATCATTGGAAATAAAATGACCCAAACAAAGAATGGAGTTTGTGGTCTGATCGGCTGTCTAATGTAACTGTGGACACTTCTGGGACTCAGAGGGAAAATGGCAAAGGCTGTGGACTCTAGAACCAGACTGCCTGCATTCAAATTCTATCTCTCCTTTCTCTTGTGTAGCTTGGGTCACCCACTTAGCCTCTCTGTGCCTCAGTTTCTTCAGCTTTGGAGTGAAGATAGTAGTAGTACTTGTCAAGAGACTCAAAGGAGTCAAAATACATAAATCCCTCCATGCGTGCCATTATCATTAATATCTGTAAAATGGAAAAACTATCCATTCAACAGATGTTTATTGAGCACCTACTATGTGCCAGGCACTGTCCTAGGTGCTGAGAATGCAGTTGTACAGCAGCAATCAATGCAGGCAAATTCTCTGCTCTCACACAGCCACGTTTTAGTGGGGAAGATAAATAACAACAAATAAACAGGGTGCAAGTGTTAAGAAGAAGGAGAGAAAGGATGGGGGAAAGCGTGCTTGTTGGGGAAGGCCTTGGATAAAGTGACGTTTGGGTGGAGACCCGAGTGGGCACAGGAGTGAGCCATTCAGCTACATGGACGAAGAGCAATAGGAGTAGAGTCAGAAGTCAGTGCATAGGCCCTGCAGTATACTTGGCATGTTTAAGAAACAGCAAGAAAGATATATTGGATTAGATTTGGGTTTTTCCCAAATCAGACTCTGAGACAAGGATTTGAGTGTAAGTAGAATACTTGGCACACAGCAGTAGGCATTTATGTAATTCATGCATCTGGGAGTCGGCAGGGGGTCAGCTAACCTGGGTTGGGTTGATTAGTCAGGGTTGGCTGATTTGGGTAGGTTTGCTCACATATCTGGGGGCTAGCTAGCATTTGGCTGATGTATAGTGGATTTGACTGGAGTGATTCAGGCTCTGCCTGTGTTTCTTATCTTCCTCTTAGGAGCAGGAGTCCAGCCTGGCAGTCTAGTCTTATGTCCATGGCAGAGCAAAGTAATTTGAGTGGAAATCCATGAAGCCTCTTAATCCTAGGCTCAGAATTGTCACACCCTCAATCGCCTCATTCCACCGGCTGAAGCAAGGCACATGGACAAACTTAAAGTCTAGGGATAGGAAAATACACTCTGTTATTCACCAGAGGGTGAAGAATGAATATTTCCAGTCAATAAC